TCTTGATGGTGATGAGTTTGTTGAGGCATTGTTGTGTTTTTTGATTCTTGTAAGATGAGCTTGGTTGATCAACAAAAGTGCCTTTCATGCTAAATAGCAGTCTTTGGTCACTTTTTCATGCAGTTGTTGGAGGTGGTGTTGTAATGTTGTTGTCTTCTGTTTCCAGGGGAACCAGATTTTCAATAGATTGACTGGTCAGGATATGTGGTGTTGATGTGCCATTTAAATGGTACTTTCAGGATGTTAAAACATCAACTGATCTGATCTTTTGATCTCGGGGACTTTGGTGCACCTTCAAAATTTTGCACAGTTTCCATTTCAGGCGTCCAAGCGCGGTATCATTGCAAAGCGCTTTTTGTTTGAGAAGGACAATCTGTCCCTCTTTTGGTTCTAAATGGATGTTGCTGGGTGTTTGTTTGGGGATTGGAAATTGTTGGAGCATTGTAACATATCCATCATAAAAGGATTTCCAAAGCGCTCTGACAATTGCGATTCTAAATTTTGCTTGCCGTGTAATCCCTTCCTTGGTTGAGAATTCCATAAATTGAATGGGATTTGGCCCATAACAGTATAGATCAAAATCAGGATCCGTTGTGTAATCTGCTTGAGGCGAATTTAAAAACATTGACGGTGTGATGGCAATAGGATTGTTCCTATCAGTGGGAACGTAAGTTAATGGTCTGGAGTTAGTAACCCTTATCACAAAGGTTACAGCTGCGGGCACAGTGTTTTGGTTTGTGAAGGGGATGCCTCCAAATGAGCAGGCAAGTTTTGTTTTGATTATGCCCATCATACGCTCATAGAAGCCATGGTGCGTGAGCGGCATTAAAATGCCATTTGACCCTTTTGGTCGTAAATTTTTGTTTGAGTTCTTCCTTGTTTGCTTTGAGAAAGCATGGCCAAGCTGCACAGAAAGTGGCAGCGTTATCAGAGACAATATTTTGGAGTTTGACATCCTGATTGTTGCAGAATGTGTTGTAAGCTCCAATAAATGATTCTAATGTCAAAGTATCAACTTCTTCCAAATGTATTGCTCTGGTCAAGGGGCATGAGAAGACACAAATTCAAATGTGTTTCTCGGTGGGAGTATTGAAAGGTCCCAGAAAGTCGATTCCAACCGTTTGAATAGGTTGTACCCTGGTATAGCAATAGGTTGGCAGGGGTGCTGGTGATTGCAAGTATGGAAGGTTGTTGAACCTTTTACACCGGTTGCATTCCCTAATGATGTTCTGTACTATTTGGCGTCCACCTTGAAGCCAATAGTGTTTTGATAGTTCTTGTAAGGTGAATGCCGTTGATGAATGTTTGTTGATTATGTGCTGAGTATGGAGAAATGCTCTTAAAAGAGGATATATTGGATGTTTCTTCAGAATAGGTAGATGTATTAATGTCCTTTTTGCCTGTTGAGTAGGCAATATATCAGCATTGATGTCAAATGATTGTCTGCTGACAGAGATGATCATGTACTTTGTTGCATCCCATTGTAGATCAAGTCTGTTCAACAGTTTCTTTCCTGCTTTCAAATACTTCCATTTCTTGTGGTCGTAGTATTTTTGCATTAGGCATATGCCCTCTTGGTGGGCTAGCTCTAACTCTTCAGGAGTGAATGGTTTCAATTTTGGCGCCTTTGGAAAGGCTTTCTTTTGTTTAGAAACAATAATTGGGATTTTTTGCGCCTTTGCCTTGGATTGCATGCGTTGTATGGCAGCAATGATATTTGTGACTGTACCACATGTTTGGGCATTTTTGAACAATAAGTTGATGGTATCTTTTTCCTTGAGGAATTGTAGTTTGGATAATGAGAGCCCCCTAGCAACTGAGGCTGTAGTTGTGGTTATTGGTTGTTGAGGCCATCTTTTTGGATCTGCAATCCATGTCCATTCCACCACAAAGTGGATTGTTGTAATGTTGTCATGTCACAACCACGTGAAGCCAGGTCAGCTGGGTTATGCTCTCCTGGTAGATGATTCCAGTCAGAAGGTTGAGATACTTGAAGTATCTTTAGGACTTGTGACCCTGTATACATCAAAAATATTATACTCTGTGTTCATCATCATCATTATTATTATTTGAGAATATATCATCAGAAGTTGAGGATCAACCTCAGGCCGCAAACGGCCGATTGCTGTGTTACTTATTTTCACAAAAACCAGTTTTCTTTGTCAGGTGTCTAAGGACCCTTGACAGTTCTGCCAATTTGTCAAGTTGGACTTGATTTTCACATCTATGACACTATAATTTTAAAAGGATTTGTAATTAATTGAGATTGTCCAAATGTTAAGGCAGTATTCAGAAATAACTGAACATCTTGTTTCATCAATTAAAAGGTGAGCCAAAACCTTGTAGAAAGAAAAAATTTAGAACTCAAAGTCTGTCTCCCATGTATAATATTTGAAGGTTACATGAAACTCACAGAGCAACATCAAACATTTGTTGCAGAATTGACATTCTATTTACCCTGACTGGAAATCTTGCTTGGCAGCTTGTTTGATAAAAAAAAGCGGAACTTCTCAATTTTTATGAATCACAATGTATGCATCATGCTAATTGAGGTACAATACTGGTATCCATGTTGGGATGGCCAGGCAGAATTATTTTTGGATTGAATTTTCAACCATCCCCCAAAAACGTTTAAATTGAAACAATTCCACATGCTGCATTGTCCAAATTTGGCAAAATTAAAAACAAATTTTACAATGTAAAATGCACAATACGCTTCAATGAAGTCAGTCAGACAACAAATGCATCTAAATAATATATTTTGAAAGGAAGTCTTGCTAAAGAATTTGCAAGTCTTCCTGCATGGGAAGCATAACTGCAATAAACTCTAGATTGATGCTAAGGAATAGTTTGGTGTGCAGGTAATACAAATACCTTCTAGGAATCAAGGGCACCCTAGATTCCTTTGCACCATCATGAGTTCCTGATCTCATGAATGCAATTGATAATCTCTTCAAATATGTGTGACACAATTGAACTGCAAAGTACACATATTATTCATACAGTGATACTCCATTTGAAATCTGTATTTCAAAGGAGTGGTACTGCTGGTTTCCAGCATTCAGAGATGTATCCATAAGTCTTATCTTGAGAATAGAGGAGACAATAATATTGTTATCCTAAATCGGCGAAAGAATAAAACCTCAGACACTTTTGTGCAGAAAGAAATGTCTCTCTTTCTTACGCGATTAATCTAAAACTTAGTTCTTTCCAAGATAACGTTCTGTCAAGAAGAATTCTAATTCTTTATGGCCGGGGTAAAAGTGAATCTAGACTTCTGGGTAAAGTGAATACGTATATATTTCGTGAGCGTCACCAACAAGAGTCGAACCAGCAATGAATGCTGACATACACGCTTCGCGGTACCTTTATAGATTCAGAACAAACCAGACGCGCCTGCGCAACTGGAATGGGGAAAACAGAAAGGGGACCGGGCAAATGACCACAAACCAGACAGTGTATCTAGGACACGCGATGTCATCGTCTGCTTTGGGGCAGCGAGTTGCTATGCAGGAATTGCAACAGTAGAGAGCAGTATTTTACACATGACGTAGGACACTGTAACTATTTCTTTCGGTGACAATATCCTGCATTGATTAGGAAGGGTAAATAAACCATAACCTAAACTGTCACCAGCAATACAGTCTGTCCAAAATTCCTCCCAAGCAAAAACGTTGCATGTCAAATCAGATTTGTGGTTAATGCCCATTTTCCTGTCTATTGATTAGGAAGGGTAAATAAACCATAACCTAAACTGTCACCAGCAATACAGTCTGTCCAAAATTCCTCCCAAGCAAAAACGTTGCATGTCAAATCAGATTTGTGGTTAATGCCCATTTTCCTGTCTTGCAAATATATTTGGCAAATATTGTCCAAACCTATATTTGAACTTGTCTTTGTGTGTGACTTTCAATTGGTAGCAAATGATACTTTGGGCTTTTTCAGGAAGAAATCTTGGGGTCAGTTATGCCCCAGGGATAAAGGTACAACAAGTGCTCTTTTTCCTCTATTACCAAACAAACACTTTTAATCGAAGTTAATGTAAAATAGGCTTGCGGCCTTCTTTTCTGCACACACCTGGTTTTGGTTCTTCAGCAGATGATGTCTTCACCATCATGATGAAATATTTCAAATTCCTTCATCCGTTTTTGGTGCACTGGTTGTACAGAATGATAGGGGAGTTGAACTTTGCAAGACTCCAGCCTAAACCAGAGTGTCATCACAACTACCATTAAGGTGATCCACAAAATTATTGACTTTTGCACTTGGAGCATTGGAAAGAAAGTATTTAAGGAATTTCACCACTTGATTTTAAATGACTGAACTTTACTCCGCATCTCCGAATCAAATGACTGTTCTTATTTCTGCGTGTGGCCCAGTATTAAATTGACTAAAACGCTGGAATTGAGTTCACGGGTTTTCAGGAATCTTGAACTACTAAAATCGGGTTACAATCCTTTGAAAATGAACACTGTCATATTCTTGTCTGAAATTAGTAAGAGAAGAAAATGCACTTGAATTAAAACTTTCGAAATAGAAAAAAATCGAGTATATATAGAAGCGTTGAGAATGTTGAATTGAGTTTCAAAATTTCAGTTTTGAAAAAACGTGGTGATTCATGCACTATAGTGTTTCCTGGATGATATACGTGAATATCTTGGGAAGCTGTCTCACTGTGTCCATGGAAAATGGCATAGTGTGAAAGGAGGAAATTTTTTCACAATTACACGCAGAGTCGGATTGAACCATATTTTGGCCTGATGCTGAGCAAAAGCGCATGGGCCCAATTTCCTTTGCAAAAAGGAAATTGGATTTTTTCCTCACACAATTAGAAATATATTTTGTAGAAAGGATCTCTGAGATCGAAATACATATTTTTGAAATAAGTTTGGATGCAGTTTTGAACGATTGAGTTTTTTGACAGCGCTGAGTAATTGCAAACAGCATAATGAGTAATTGCAAACATAAAATAAATTAATAAATTCAATGGGTCGCCAAAGTTTTGATGCTTGTGCTTTTTTATTTTCTTCAATTCCACACTATCTTGTGCAAATTACAGATGATCATACAGCACTCGAGTTTTTACTGCAAAACAAAGAAAAATGTGCTCAATTTGTGCAAGAAAAAAGTGCCGTATAGTCAAAGTGTCACTTCAAAATCCTCATCACCATACTAAGGAATGTACAGTGAGACCCCCACATGCAAACGCCTTGACCTGCGGACAATTTGACTTAGGGACACTTTCCTTATAATTAAAAAAGACCCAACCTGCAGACACTGACTCGACCTGCGGACATCAAAATTTTCAGAAAATCAAAATTTTCAGAAAATCAAAATTTTCAAGCCAAATTTCGTGGAACAGATATTCAGAACCATAAGATGGGTAGATTTATGTGACAAAAATTGTTTTAAAATTCTGTCATCATTTTCCCTTCCATTTAGCTAATTTTAAAAATTATCTCAAGCATAGAGATTCTCAAAAAAAGGGATTTCCTTATCTCTTTTTGTATAATTTCATTTTTACAGGAGATGCTAACATCTCAATTTTCAATAGTGTACAGAGGTGCAGCATGTTTACTTAGACATTTTTTCCTGTATGTTCCTAAGAAACTGTTGAAAAACATTATTCTCAACTTTTTGCTTGACAAAAAGCTAAGTTTTATAAGTTAATTTCAAGAAGGCTAGCTAAAAAAAACTGGAAAATTTCCTTGAAGACAAAAACATCTGGAATAATCAGGAATATGCCAACTGTGGAACTCAAAAAAGAAATCAAAAAGATGCCACAGCTGGAGAAGAAAGGAAGAGAACATTTGCTGAATTGATGGATCTTAACATTCAGCAGTAGCACAGAAATTGTACATTTTGTGAATTTTGTAGGTCCCCAATGCTCCAATTTTATACATGACTTGAAAAACACTGATTCAATAATTTCTTATCATTAGAATTTTTTTCCTCAATTTTAAAAAGGAATTTTGATCAATATTTCTTTCCAGAAAACATCAATTAAAAATTATATAATGCAAGTCTATGGGAAAACACATCTCGACTTAGGGACACTCTTGATACACCAATTATGTCCACATCTGGGGGTCTTACTGTATTCCTATGCATATAAACGTAAAACCAACATCGCAGACAAAAATAAGAGGCAACACAGAATAAACACTCTCAAATATGCAATGCAACACATTTTGTTCTGATCCGCCTTCGGGAAGCAAACATATAATCATTTATGCCTGAATAAACTCATCCGAAAAAGTAACGGATTCCATTGTTGATTAGTTGCATGAAACTGGACCACTTATTCTCATCCTCATCCTGATGATGGTCATCATGATCTGGTCCAGTATAATCGTAACGACGAGTAGTCGCATTACTTTTGATAATCGTAACATCAACAGTCAGGTTAGTTGCCGTGGTGGTATTATTAATTGATGTTAGGGTGGTAGCATTATTATTCCCAGTTCCAGTGATGGTAGTGTTACCATCAGTCGCCGTTGCAGTCGTGACATTAATACTAGTCTCAGTTGCAGCAGTGCTAGTCACATTTGCAGTGGTAGTGGGAGTTACAGCGGTAGTCGAAGTTACAACTGTACTGCTGGTAGCATTAGTCAAAAGGACTTCGGTTATAGTGGTGGCTGCTGAGCCATTATTGATGCACACGTCAGCATATTGGCAAACGAATTTGTAAATCTCGCTGTAGCTCATGCTTGTAGCGGATGTCAAAGACTCTGTAGCTGATACGTTGTACGTTCTGGCCTTGACTGCGATCAGTGCGGCTTTTTCATGGACCAGGCTATCTCTTACTATCGGTGATCCCAAGATTCCCTGCAATTGAACAAGCAGCATTTTCCACTGTACAGTATACTAACCACGAAAGAAAATGAATAAGGTTGATGATGGAAATGCAGAAATTCAGTGGGAGCCAGAAGTGTTGCCAAAGACGATTCGTCTTTGGGAGAGTTGTCTAAAAATATAAATCTGCTGCAACGTCTCCGAATACGGACAATTGGCCAACATTACTTGAAAACATTTATTTTGCTACATTTTTTAAACTCGAAAAACTTCGGATATTCCACTAAATTTAGATCAAATGAATGATTTTCACCGCAAGACGCGAACATCCGTGAAGAAAGGTTTGGCAAATGCCTTTGTCTCAATTCTGTTTTACATATAGGTTCAGATTAATAAAGCTTTTCCAGCTTCTGCAACAAGAAAATAAAAAATTCGTTCCTCACCATGTCAGACACATTGTACATGCGTGGTTCGACAAACTGAAAGCACAAAGACCATTCCTTGGTAAATGATGGGTTGGCCGGGCAATTTTTCCAAAAATAATATGCTCTCCAAAGCTCGAATCCATCTATGGAACAAAATGTGTAGTAAATCACTTCAAAATCAAATTCACACCAATTACGTATGTATACATTGCCCCAGCATGATAAAATTGTAACATACAGTACTGTACAGGCATACTTCACAATCATCAGGAAATAGACCAAGACATATGGACATTATGTATCAAGCTTTCAAAATTCCTGAAAAAATTAAATCTGTCTCATTCAAAGGTGGACTCTTTAGGTGCAACAATCTTGTAGGAACCAGAAAAATATCCTTATATATATAGAGACCCTCAGGAAGAACACTATGGGATCCAAGAAATTATATAGATAGTATATAATGTATATATAGAAAATCCTTGTAGAAAAATTTTTTGCTTATAGAGAGCCCACCTGCATCTTAGATAAAGTGAGGTACTACTGCCAACAGTATCGGGGTGACTTTCATTCTGTTGATGACTGCCTAAAATCTTCTGCTGCATACATGAGAAGAGAATAATAACATTATCTCATTGCAGTCCATAGAAAAAAGCCTTATTTGAATGTACATTGTGGAGCAGTTTGTGGACACAAATTAACAATTGAGAATATTACAGTTCTTATATAGTTGGACTCTCTGCATAGTCTACAAAAGTCCTGTATGTAAGACAATTTTTTTAAATCATTTTATTGAGGTCCCTCTTGGTCAAATCTTCATGTTATGGGGCTCTCTGCTTCAACATTATCTTCCCAATGAATTATTTTCTGGTCTTTCCAGTAGATGATGTTGGGCGCTGCAGCCACCCCAACACAATGATAAAAGAAAAGCTGTGGATCAAAAGAGTTTAGGAATAGAAACACAAAATATGCCCAGTCCTGAGGCCAGAAATTCTTGAAAGAATCCCAAGTTAATTTAGGATAAAGTACATTTCCATTGTCCCAATTAAGCAAAAAAGAAGAACAATAAGTAAAGGTATCAATACAAAATTCACAAGTTATTTTAGGATAAAGTCACAAACCTCTCAGAGAACCTCAAAAAATTTCACTGCACCAAAGACAGCTCAAAACAGACTGATGATGATTTTTGGGAGGACAAGGGATTTTATTAAATTCATTTTCTTGCCCTTGATCAAGTCTCCCTGATCAAGGAGCAAAAAATCTTAGAGGCTTCTGATTGGCTGGAAAAAGTTGCATCAAAGATGACTTTATGACAATAAGGCGGTTGAATTTCGGGGGGAGGGGAAGAACCTTTGTGGTTTTCTGCAGTTTTTTGCTCAAGTGGTTTTCTCTCCAATTAATTTATTTGGGTTGATTTTTATTTTATGATGATCAGGTGCTTGTGCACCAAGTCTCCAACAGATGAGTTCAGCTGGATAGAAAGATTCCACCTGCTGCATCTCTGTAAACTTTTCTGGGGATTCCACTGCATACTGCACAAAATTTGAGACAACATTTCTGCCACTACATTATGGTACTCACCTTCGGTGGACGATTTTGCCCAGTCATAGATAGCGAGAAAACTATAAACGCTTGTATCATTGATGGAGCAGGAAATCGGAATTGATCTTAATTCGTTGTCTATGCCTATGGCAACATCAGCGTTCAGTGTCAGAATCGCTGGTTGAGATTCCAGAAAATCGTCCTCAGAAGATGTAGCGTTGGGTGTTACATATTTTGGATGATTGATAACGTCTGAAGTTGTCAGATTGACGAATTTTGTCGCATTCCCGCCCAGAACTTTAACGGAGACATCAATGCTGTTAATCGACAAGCCCTGGCTTGCCCAGACGTTTTGATCCAGAAGGTTGGCGGTAGTCAGGATGTGCCTGTTTATTCAAAAATAAACTGAGACACTCATACAGTGATGTTCAATAAGAATAAAATCTCAACTTGAGTTGACTACCTGCAGCATTTTTTTTTCATTTAATTAAGGGAAAAAAGTGTGGCGCCAGTTGCATGTGGGCATACACTTTTATTAAAGCCAAAAAGTATGAAATTAGTAGTGTGAGCCATAAATGATTGCTTTGTTTAGCTGTGGATGATGAACATGGTGAATTGCTGGCAAGAATATACTGTATTTCCTCTTATTTCTACCACAGAAAATTGTTCTTGGCTTTCAATTATACAGTTGGTCATGTCATAGATCTTGAAAACCAAAATGATAAACAATAGGCTTTCAACATAAATTGTGAATTATTGTGAGAGCTGTGAAAGAGCAGTCTGTGACCCAGTGACTCTTGAGAAGGATTGCATTGACTTGTTTTTCCGGATCAATCAAAAAACAGGGATCTCTACAAAAGATAAACAAGGGCAGTTGCTTCTTCTTCAATGGGATTACCCAAGTTGAAAGGGGTTGAAAAGATCTGGCTTATTCAAGTTTAGTCAGTTGTTCAATCAACATGAATTTATAGTCAGCCTTTCTGTGGAGACATAAATGATCAAATCAAAATCAAATGTTGAGACAATTGTGCAACAAACTCAATGCAATCATCCTTTGAATGCTGGAACAACTAAAAACAGATTGGCTGCAGCTTTGTCTGAAGCAAGCGTGTATTTTGGGTGTGCAATTCTCCGCCCCACCCTGTGCAGAAATAATCTGCAGTGTATTTTTGCCTGTGGAGAAGCATGCCCCAGTCAATTTTGCACCAAACATGCAAAGGGATCTTGTATCTTGTCCCTTACCAGAAATTTCAAACAAAATCACACCAGCTCTTGCAAATAAACAACAAAACTGACCTGTATCTTGCAGCTTTACAAACATATGCATTGGCAAAAAATATGCTGCAACCCTGTTTGTCACTTGTCTGGGAACTGGAGAAGAAAACCCTACCCCCTCCTCTAAATGTTTCAGTGGAAACCCAGAGGAGGAGTCTATATGTTTGACCACTTCTGGTCAAATTTCCACACAATACATATTATTCCATCCAAATACATCACACCATCTCAACAAATTGGCCTACTTCTGCTCTATCTTGATGGGAAAGCCAACAATCTGGTGGATAAACAACCTGACAATACCAAAGAAGTAGACTACTGCCGCATATTGAAAATCCTAATTGAGGAATATGCAAACATACAAGCAACCTGTGAATGAATTTTCGAGTTGTTCAAGAAAATAAAACCAGACATTATTCACAATGCCCAGATTGTCATTTGGCTCTTAATGAAATGGTTGTTTGGAATGTCAGAGTCAATTGTAAGATTAGTTGGCTAGCACAAAAGAATGTATGAGGTAATTTATGCTGGAAAAAACTTCAGCATGCCAACAATTTGGCCACAGACAAGTAATTCCTTTTTTATAATCCAAAGAAAATTTTTCAGCTTCTGCTGGAGCCTGTGAACCAAACCTAAGTTTGGTTTCCAGGCCCAGCAAGGACATTTCTGAATAAACTGTTAGCCTTGGACAGTTGCAGCCTCCTTTCCATCCCAGGTCAAAGTGGGACTTTTTCCCCATGCGCCTGCATTATAATTTTGCGCAAGGTTTTGCAACCCCTGCCAGGTGGGGGAGGGCAAAGCTGGATTTTATCTGGGGATAAAGAAATGCTGGGAAAGTCCTGAGTTATTGAACTTTTTCTGTGTTGACCTCTAACCTGGCTTTCAAGCTTAAATTTAATCCTTGAATGGGGAAACAACCCTAGGCCAGGGGAAAAAAGGGAACCTTAAAGTTTCCTTTTTTCATTTTCAGGGGAAATTTTTCTGTGGAAAATTTAAAAAATGCCGAGATTTTTCCCAACTTTTCCCTCCACACACTGTTGGGGTTTTCTTTAATTCCACTCCTGAGTGCAACCAAAATCTGCAAAAAAAAGTCTGACTTTGCTGCAGAAGGGTTAATCTCTAATACTCTTTGTCCTTCAACTCTTCCTTTCCTGATTTTAACTTCTTCTGATTGAAGCACTTGCATTTGAGTTGCAAACCTGAGTGGATCTCCATGAAGCAAAAGTTTTCTGCATATTGTGCAAAAATTATAACCAATGTATCTTGCCAAAATTCTCATCTCAAAAATATGCTATCTCAAAGTGGGACAAATTTGTCCCAGCTGCAGCCTGGCTGCTTGACAGTGCATCTTTCCATCTCAAAATTCCATAAGCAATGATTTATTCTTCACAGACTCATAACTGCATCTTTCCAATCACCTATTAAGTCAAGTCCTTTATTTCATATAATTTTATTCTCTTTGTGAGATTCACTTTAGCTCAACAATCTTTCTCTCACAATTTAAGATGAAAGGCCCCTTACCACTAGATTCTCTCTTCTCCTCTCAAAGAGGAATGAAGACTTTTATAGCCAGGTGCTTGGACTGGGGCAGGAAGAAATCTGGTGATTTCTTCCTAGCTCAGGATTGGTCATTTCAGGAAAAATCCAGGAAGTGATGATCACTTCTTGGCCTTGAGTGTGGTGCAGTGAGTTTCTGGGATTTTTGCCAGGCTCACTGGCCTCAAAATGAAACCAGTTTTCTTGGCCAGATGCTGGAGCTGCGTTTGGGACATGACAGTATGTGCGTGTAAGTTTATTTTGAGGAGAGAAGATAAGCAAGTATTCGAACAGCTATTGGCATGTGCAGAACCTGCCAAAAATAAGCACAAACATCTTTCTTACTTGGAATATTTACAAAGTTTTCATTAGTTGCACACATTTTCTTCTCAAGATTATTTGCACAGACATTTTGCTGGACATATAGATTCCTATACTTCCTATAAGAGTCCGGGTCAAACTGAAATAATGTGTTCAAAATTCCCTGGTCTTTTAATCTTTCTAGATTCCCCTCAAATTGTGGGGCAGGAGTGTTGTCCCAAAATTTGAAATTCTCAGGCGATTGAGTCTATTTTACCCGCGATTAAACGGTAGTAAAACTGGGATCATTTTACAAAGAATTCTTCAAAAACGTTATTTGTCAATTTGAAATCTTCACTGGTGAAATATGGTTCTGAAATTTGTTTTAGAGCACCAACTTCTGTGGTATACAATTTCTGTTTGCGCACCTAGCGGAAAATGGATATCTTTCAGAGAAACGCGCAAAAAAATCCGTAAGCCTGTATAAAATATTTCTTCACAATTTCTTCCCACGCATAAAAATCGCAGACAATCATATAATTTTTATTTTTCATGACGTCAATATATTTGGCAGTTTGAATTTACCTCTTGGAAATGATGGCTCCGAGCAATGTGGGCTTCACTGTAGAATCGTTCATGTTCAGCTCGATCACGGCAATGAAACCCGTATAGCTCCCGTCTGCCTTTGCTGGGACGCTGCCTTCAAGTCTGGAGTATACCTTGGGCCTCATGTAGGTGTCGCTTCCCTCGCTAGCAGAACCTGTGTGACGTGAAATGAACCGTGTCTTGATGCTACTTTAAAATGAGAAGGGAAATTATTCCTCCTTACGGATCCCCAGGAGAAAATGGGTCGAAAGAACGATAAAAAATATCGGTCTTCTCATGTTCTGTATGCAGTGATACGAGCTTGCTACTCCTTGGAATCCTATATTCCAGCTTAATTCGACCCGATAGAAATAAGTCAAATTTCTGAATGATAGGTTATTCTGATGCGCGGGGCGTTTGGATAAATTCCTGTGGGGAAAAAATCAATAAAGAGTTGATGGGTCTACCTTTCTTTCAAAGAGGCATTTATTAGCAGGCACTTCTGTTTTGGTACCGTGCATGGTTGCTCCTGCAGAAGAAATCTGCTGCAATATATTCCGCCGCATCCATGCATGCATGGATGTCGACGATGCACAATACTGTATAGTATTGGTGCTCCTTTTTTATTCGATTTTACTTTCCAAATCGTTGAGTCCAAAAGGGGTGCAAGATGATGTCAATCAACTTATATACAGTACTGTAAACGCACAGCAGATTTCCGTCCTTTACGTTAAGAGCATTCCATGAAGGGCTTCAAAAAGAGAAGAGTTATGCCATGCAAATTATTTTTATTATAGTAGCAGCAGTAGGCAAAATGGAAAGGCCAACGTTTCACACGCATGAATAAGTTAAATTATCATTTTAGTTGAATGATGAAAGAATATTAACATCAGAAAACAAGTCCAGTTCTGAAATTTTTGGTTCAGGAACATTTGCTGCCGTGGAAATCAAACAATTATTATTGGAGGTGCAGAGGCGATAAATTGAAAGACGAGGAATATATAATAAAAAATATATTCTGCAGTGTGGATATACACCTTTAAAACATTATTAGAAGTCATTACATGAATATTGTGAACAATTTTCTCTCCGCTATCCTCTATTTTAATAGATTCAATTTCTGTGTTCATAATGAAGTTTTGATTTTCAGCATCCTGCATGGTATAGCTATATACTCACCAGAATTATTTTTTTTCTTCTCAATAATCAAATGACGTTATATCAGAGAAAGAAAATATGCAGTTTCTCCAAATAAAAAGTGGATGGGACGGGAATTTTTATCTGCAATGATTTAAGTGAAGGCGTGGATGTGTGAATGCTGCTCATTCAAAGTTCAATTGCGATTAATACTCAGGCACATTTTTGTGGCCAACAACATCTGACGTCGTGGTGCTGTCTTTTTGCAACAGTCGAACACGATTTTTTCCATCTACTGTATATTGTCAACGTGGGAATGCATCACCGAAACATGTTGGGAGCCTAAGCGTTACACGACGAATGAGATTTACTTTGGATACGCGCGACCTCGAAGAAAAGCGCTGCGTAAATAAAGTTGAACTTTAACAGTTTGAAGCTTTGAAACTGCGCATGAAAGCTAACTAAGCAATGAAATCGTTCCTCAAGGTCGAGGGTGTGAATGCGATCCCGATGACAGACACAGAACAACGCGGGTAAACAGTATCTTCAAGAGATCGACGCAATTTAATTTGTAGAACGGCAGGTACAAAAAAACGAAAAAGAACAGAAGCATATTACTCGAAATAGCAATAATACTCGATGATAAGACGACAACATGGCATTTTGTTTCCATCTTCTCTCACAAGCTTATTTAACATTTCTCAGTCGACGATTAGAATTCGCTGGAAGGACTGTGAAATATGTTTGCATAAAATGCCGTCCATTCCAAATGTTTCCTACTGGATCAAAATGAAAAATCGCATCAACTCAAAAAAAATTCATGCGTTCTTTCTTTGTGAAGATATTCTTTGCAAATCCGCGGGTGCATCGAATATAAATTATATCCAGAATTACAATTAATTTGTTCTGAGTACTTGCAGATGATTAAAAACTCATCAGAAACCCTATAAAAATATGCATATAATGTACTGTATACGAGTATTAATTTGCACCATTCCAACCCAAAAGCACAAATAAAAAGTTTGAATCCTGGATCACAGCTGTATACTGCAGTAAATTTATGAGTTTGAGCTGAACTATATAAGAATGAGGAATCATTACATCAAGCCTTTTTTCTTGTTCCAAAAATACAATTACAGTACATTTATATATATTGTTTGAAGTACATTTCGTAATTGCATTCCATTTTCATGAATTGTTTCAGGCACAAAAAATATACAATGATCATCATTTCAAAAGATCACGTATCTTCATGAATGTTTTAGCGAAGTCATCCATGTTTGGCTCAAATATCTCGCATATGTACAAATCTAACATATATTTTTAGCTGCGCATGGCATGCACTATTTTGTAGAGCCTGCATTGCACCAATTTTTTTTTGCAGTCTTTATTATACACAGGATGTGCCATGCATTTTTTAATTTCAAGGCCTGCATAATTTTGTACCAGCCAAATTGAAAAAAAAAATTTTGCTTCAGGATTTTGTCCCAGTTCCAAGGCAGGCTTGCTGGGTGCCAGCCTTGTTGGGTTCCCATCAGAAGTTGCCACACACAGGCAAAGGGAAAATACTAATGGCACAACCAGGACACATGACAACAGTCTCTGCATGGCAGAAATCCTGCTGCATGGCTGGTTTGCTGCCAATCTGTGGTTACACAGGATTTCAGGCAAATGAAAATGAGGAGCTGGCAGGGAAGTCTTCACTATATTGAAGCATTCACCTGCCAGCAGAAACAGGACATAGGAGTCTGCTATGGAATGTCTGACATATGTTTGTGTGTCTGTCTTTTGTAGTTTTGTGCTTACCTTATAGGAATTTTGTACTGTTCTTAGAAGCCTTTGTATTGACACATCTGCCTCCATGCTTGTCCTGATGTTTTCTCTGTATACACTAATCTTTTGAAGAGTTTCCTCTAAGGGAAAATCTAGCTGAATATAATGGCCGACCACTGGGTGTTTCCTTTTCCAGCCCATAGCTTTCTGGTGCGTTTGTTGTTTCTCAGCCCAACAAGTCTCGTGGCTTCTGTGATCCATGTATGCAATGGTTTTTTTTCTGGATGATCACTGCATAACCTTGAATCCATTTCACCCATTATAGCCATTGGATGCAACAGCTAAGGTCTGACATGGGGATGTTCCATCTCAAGGACAAGAACCATGAACCAATTAATGTTTGGGGTTCCAATGTAACAAATAATAAACCAATCCGTCTGAATCTATAGATTAAGAGCTTTAAACGATAAAAACTAGGATTTCAATTATTTGCTCTCTATTCACTATAGTTATTGGATTGAGCTCGCAGTCAGTGTTGAGCAACGAACAGAGCTTTTCAAGTACGACGTCGAGTCTTTGCAAAAAGATATTCGACCGTCGCAACATTTTTGCTGCTTGTGCTTTTTATTTCCTTCAATCCCACACTGTTTTGTGCAATTACAATTCAACATAAACTGGCGTATCTACTGCAAAACAAAGGAATAAGTGTTTCGCGCAAGAGAAAAAGTGCCTGACAGTCAACTTTTTCAGTTCAAAGACATCATCACACCAACAGAAGAAATGCACATACATATGATGCGAATGCAACCAAAATCACCGACAGCACATCATAAACACTCATTTTCCCTTTTTGTATTCAATAATCCAACACGCGTTTTGATCCGTTCTCTGGGATTATTTTTTGGCACACAATCATGCCGGAAAATCACCCGAAAACGTAACGGATTCCAATGTTGATTAGTTGCATGAAACCGAACCACTTGTTCTTCTCATCCTGATTTTCACATTCTCCAGTATGATTGTGACGTTGCCGACAATTAGTGATGGTCACAGTGCTTTTGGTGGTTGTAGTACCATTAGTAGCCACAGTTGTAGTCGTTGCATTATTATTTGCAGGCACAGTAGTGGTAGCATTATTATTCGCAGTTCCAGTCGCATTAGCATTAGTAGTGGCATTGGCAGCAAGAGTTGTAGCACTCGCCGGAGCGGCAGTGGTAGCTGGGGTCGTAACTGCCGAGGCGTTGTTTATGCATAAATCGGCGTATTGGCACACGAATGAGTAGATCTCGCTGTAGCTCATGCTTGAAGCTGCTGTCAGGGACTCGTTTGCTGAAACGGCGTACGTCTTTGCCTTGACTGCGATCAGCGAAACGTCAGCATTGTTCCCATAATTCAGAACAATGGGAGACCCAATTTTCCCCTGCAATTAAATGAAACTGCATGTTCATATAGTTGACTCAAACCACACTAGATAACACTGAAGCAGTGTTCCACAACTAGCTGCAAAAGGTTTTTTTTTGCCAGTCCTGGTGAAAGTTTCTTCAGCATAATAAATTCAGCAAAAATATATAGCAATGAGGTCTCTCATCTTAGGCTGGAGTTTTGGGGAGACAATATGGCAGTTCAAGTTGTCTCATCAAAATTAAAAGTTGGCTTTTCTCACCCTTTGAACATGGTTTCACATGCTGTATTAATTAATTATAATTTTACATCCTGGGAAATATTTCTTCAAGCTCACCTTCCAAATGTTTTGAATAAGACATTCCACTGCAGATGCTTCATGGGTTCTTGACTTTATTTTTGAAAAATAGCAGGAAATTTATACATACCTGCCATAAAGTCTTTCAAATAACATTTTTTTGAGTCTGGAAAAACTTTATGAAACTTTGCTGGTCCAAAGAATTTTTGACAATTTGTTGGTACAGTAATATTTTATCAAATCTTTGAGATTATTTGGTCCAAATAATTCTTTGTCAATTTGCTGGTACGCGGTAATATTTTATCAAAACTTTGAGATCCAGAGACCTAAAAGATTGGTGTGGTAATGTAACACTGAAGCAGAATACCTACAGATTTCATATTGTTTTGATTCCCTGCCTAAATTCCCTTATATTAGAGACAATGGAATAAACGCTTCCCTAACTCAAAGGCTTTCTCCCTTATTCAAACATAACAGGAATTTTCATGAAGGCCTTATTCTGGCTATTACTTTATTGACACAGCTTGGAAAGAAAAAAGGCAAAAATTTGAAGCAAGAGGAATTTTGAAAATAAAATGACATAAAACAATGTGCAAATGACTTCATGTTTTGAACTTCAATGGTCTGTCAACTCATTCATCAAAAAGAAATTCGAGGACCAGAGCATCACCAATTTCAATTTTCTGTATGTTTTCTTTTTTTTTCCTAAAAAAATTAGGGTTCCTTGCAGCTGGAAACTTCTCTAACTCAATTTTTGTACGCTCCCTTGAAGCTTGACTTATATACGTGAAGAAGGATGAACCACCCTCAAAAATAACACACGTCTCAGTATATATGCATTCGATATTATTTTGCCTGGGAAAAATCAAAAATGTTTAATCATAATCCATTTTTGCTCAATTTACTCATCAGTTAATTGATATACATGGAATTGAATTGCTATAGTTCACTGCACAGTCAACGCTCAGCTTCTCAAGGAACATATGGTCCCAAAACCATTTATTCAACCTTATTTAATTTCCCCACAGGTGTCAATGATCGATGAATTGTTCGAGTTTTTCTACCCAAAATACGACGGGAATTTTCAGATTGTTAATGAACCATTATCCTTGGTTGGTTAGTCCTTCATTTGTCTCATTTACCTATCTGTTATATCATTAACTTTCGAGGCATGCACAAACCATTTTACCATCATTTTTGATGTACTGTTACTTTTGACTTTGTCCACAGAGCAAAATTTGAGTCATTACATGCATTTTCAGATGATATTGAACATATTTTTCACAGATAATACTTGCATTCAAAACAGGCAATTTGAGACTGGACACTTTGAAAAAGGCAATTTGAAAAAGACCATTTGAGACAGGTACAATTTAACAAAGCCAGTTAATCTGAAAGAGGGTCAATTTGAGACAGAGTTCATTGAGATTTTCTGTGATTACATAGACAAGGAGAAAGTTCAGGACAATCATGACGAATGATACTATACATCCCAAATAAATCCAAGTTCCACAGTAATACAAGAAACACATATGCTAAAGTAAAAACTCCGTCAAAATTATTCACACAACCACAAGACATTAAACACGCACAAAGAAAATACCCATAGCAAGGAAGTTATTTCCCACAAAATCTGCAAACCGAGCTGTGTATACTGAATACAAAACAATAAGGGATAATTCAAGTCTCAAACTGTCATTGAATAGTCTCAGTATCAAAATGTTTTCCTATGTCTGATGTAGCATCTGTCTCAAATTTTTCAGTCTTGAAATATCTCTGTCTGAATCATTTGTTTCAAATTTTCCTAGACTTTTTTGAATTGCAAGATTGAATTTTTTTAAAAATTTTCAATTGCAAGATTAATTTATTTCAATTGCAAGAGTTGATTGAATACTGCTGCCCTTTGGCAATTTTATATTTTTGAAAAGGAATTGATGCAGCAAGATCACAAATAAATTAAAGAATACAATTAGTTGCAAGATTCAAATACTGTTTATTGAATGATGTCATACTCGGAATTACCTGAATTAATCTGCTCATCTAAACTCTCACGGAGCTATCAATAATCAAAATAAAAAATTTTCCAGGGTTATGAAATGTCCTGAATTCTGATCATAAAAATTCGAAAATGAGTCATCATTTTGACCTGCATGAAGAACACTCCCTCTCTCGAATAAGTTACCTGCAGCAATCATTTTGATTTTTGCTGCACTTTTATCCACAAGGTAAGTCTTTTAGAAAGTTCGCAAGTAAATGTAATATGATTTAATGCAATATGCATGACGTCAGATCGATGGAATAAATCCGAGGAAAATTATGGTGCATAAAATTAAATAGTAACATAAATAGTTACTCTAGTTTCCTCTAACACGGAAATAAAACGAAATTTGACAATGAAATACAGTATTGAAAAAGTCTAATGCATGATGTATCTTAGCTGCATTGCATCAGTACAGAATGTTTTTGCCCATGCATGCCTTTGTTTTTGTTACTTACTGTAGACTAAGATGCAGATTGAAGCCTTCTTCCCGAAAAGGTCAAGCGTAAAGAAACAAAAATATGTTTCTTACCATGTCAGACACACTGTAAGAACTTGCAGTTGGCAACTGAAAGCACAAAGACCATTCCTTGGTAAGTGATGGGTTGCCAGAAGGACAAGCTTTCCGAGAATATGTTGCTTTCTGCAGCTCAATTGTACCTGTGACAGAAATTTCAGGGAATAATTTCACAATACATTATACATATACAGCATCAATGTGCTGATGACCCAATATAATGATAATAATGCTAATGATGGACACTTTGAAACAGTGGAAAATGTAGCCCAGACATATTTTCAAATGTTTCGCAGTGAATTAAATCCCAGGCAAAAATTATAGAAAATGAAGAATCAATTTTTTCCAAGACTTTGACGCATGTTAAATAAAAACTGAGCTTCGGTTTTGCACATTAATTCAAAATATCTTACAAAATATCTCGTATTGTATGATGTAAATTTGATCTAATTATGTTAACACAGTAGGCTAATTTTCAGCTTATCTTTCCTGATAGGTTTTATCAATCAACTGTGTATTGGATTTCAATGTTTTTTTTTCCTTTTGGACTTATTTTAATGCCAAAAGGGAAGATATTATCTGTGCTGGGTTTTTATCTACGCAGCTATTTTCCATGTTTTGAAGTTGATACAAATATTTTATTGAATGCTCAAGGTTTCTTAAATGTTGCACAAAAGGAAGATGAAATATTTTAAAATTTTTCCATTACAGCTCTTATGGGAAAACATGACCCAAAATGTGAGCATTGCAACGTCTGAGAAATATAGTTGCAGTTGAACCTTGTCCCTAACTAAAAGGGTTTTACTCTCAAAACTCCATAACTCAAATTCCTTCACACCTTCATAGTCTAGGCTACTCTATCCATATAAGTTCAAAGGACATGGACTAATAAAAAATCATACTATGGAGGCTTTCAAAAAGGCAGTGCTTGATTGATTTGGCAATTTTACTCTCATTTTGAAGTTTGTTGTACTGCCATCTCATTTATCAGAAAATTGTGATCAAAAAAATAATAATAACCAATTTACCCTTGTTGTACATATTTTAAACTTTTTCCCACAAAAAAAGCTGATTTTCTCTTCTCCAGAACTTTTTGATACTGTATACAGTATATATTTAAATTATTATTATTTTTTACCTTTTCTAGTCCAGTAGAATTCGCCTTAGGAGAGTGCTAAGCATCACACTACCCAATATAAGAGACTCTTCATCTGCTTTCCTTTGGTACATTGCCATGATTTTTATGGCGGCAGCCACCAACAGAACTCCTCAATATTTACTAACATACCACTCCACCCTCAATTACCATACGCACCTTCATGCAGGTTTTTTCATTCAAATTTTCTGATAAATTACATCCCTGAGTAAAACAAGTATCCTCTTTCAAGTGACTCTAAAACTGCAAGTTTTCAGGCATGATGACAACCATGTTTGGATTTGAGCATGATTTGATCCTAAATTCAACTAATTTTCAATTATTTTCAAAACAGTACGTTTTTCTTTTGAAATTTGTACAAAATTCCCCATTAGAATCAAGCATAATGAATACATAAACTTGTAAAACTTTAAGAAATTTAAAGCCATCTATATGAAACACATCTCCTCTTACCCTTCGATATTGTATTTTGAGGAAAAGATGCACATGGTACTTGAACATTATTACTGTATATATTGAAAGATTAATTTCAAAATGCTTGCTCCACCATACAAAATTTGTAAAGGGGGATGCTTGTGATTGAATGCAAGCACTGACTTTAGTTTGGAACTTTTTCACTTGAAAGGGGGTAATTTTGAATTCAAAATGTATTGTATATTATTGTGGCTTACAAGGACTCTCCATCTCTGACATGTGGCCCTTGATAATAAAGATATTCATTAACGTGGCCCTTGCTTGACCACATCTGACCTGGGCAGTACATATAGCGCCTTTTAGAAGAAGGTTTAACAGTGCTTAAAATGTCAAGTATGACTTTTGGTCACATTAATTGTACATCTTGATGTATGCTGAATTATACTTGAGACTAAGTATCTGCAACTAAATATCTAGCAAAACTCACTGGAGGGCTTGGACCAGTCCAAGACAGTGACTGTATCTCCAAGTTTTGTATCAGTGGGGGAGCAAGAAATTGGGATTGCTCTCAGGTCGTCGCTTATCCCTAAGACAGCATCAGAGCTCAGCGTCAGAATCGCTGGTTGATATTGCAGGAAATCGTCTTCGGATGTCGCAGCATTTGGTGATACATATTTTGGATGCTTTATAACGTTGGTCATCGCCAGGTTTGTGATTTTTGTTGGGGAACCGCTGGTAGCTTTTAGCGTGACTTCGATAGTGCTGATTGACAATCCCTGGCTGGCCCAGACAGCTTGGTCAAGATAATTGGCCGTCGTGAGGATGTTCCTGTTTTGTCATGGCAAAATGAGGGAATAAGACACTCAGACACTGAAGGGGATAAAAAAATATCACGTTCTAAAACATTGCTGAAACAATTCCCATCATAAGGAATTTTTCATTTTGTTTAAATGTTTGGTAAATATAAGCTTCATTTGCTGCTTTTCAACATTCACAGAGATTGACAAATTCCAATATTTGAAGATTCTCCCACTACTGCTTAGCCATAATGGGTATTTTTAGATTATGTACTACTGTACGTTTAAAAAAAATGTATGTGATTTAGCCCATGTAATTCCAAGGTTTGTGAGATTTCTTCAGATTTTTCTAAAAAATTTTAGATTTATTGCATGATGATGAGTGAAAACTTTCCCATTTTGGTGAGAGTTCTCCACCCATGTTACAAGCTGTTTAAAATGTTTCAGGACAGAAAAAATATTGAAAATTTTATGTTATTGTTTCTAGCATGAACTTTCCTACATGTTAAGAAATTTAAAATTGTTCATTATTCTTATTTTTGCAAGAAATGAATAAAAACTAGGCATTTGACATTTATTCAGGAGCAGGGGTTTATCTCCTTTTTTAAATTCCTCTTGAAAAACATCATTCAAGGCATAGTTTCTGCCAGGAATGTTTTTCTTTCTACCTCAAGAGTACATGGAAGTTCTGTATTTTTAATTTTTATATTTTCAATCTTCTGCATCAAGGAGAAACAGCAGGGTAAGGTGTCATCCAAATCCCATTAGATCTTGTCCCCATCCCTGGTTCATTGCCAGACTTCTCTTCGCAATTGCACAAGTTTTGCTCCTCAGTCCACTTTTCAATAGTTCTAACAGTCCCATGCAGTTTGTTGAAGAGATCACTACTGTATTTTAAAGTTCTGAATTTCTTTGATATGAAATCCAATGCAATTCTCCAATGAATAAACTCCTAGCTCTTATTTTGAGCTTGCTAATTATTAATTTCTTCAAATCAACATGCTGCTGTATACTGTAATGTGTTGGTTCTTCTCGAAATATGAAATGAAACATTTTCCAGGTATCCTAGTAATAAGTTCCTCCTTTCAAAGTACTGTAATTTATTCAGGCAGACCCAGCATTTCTTCTTCTATAATAAAAGGGTATACATATCCTTCTTGGCGTAGTATAGATGCTGCATACTTCTGTCTAGTGAAAAAAAAGATCCAATGCAAAATCCTCAAATGCACCAAAATGAATTCCAAGAAAAACGTTTTCTTCACATCATGTGATCATTCGTTATATGACCATGTTATATTGACACTATATGGCTATATACAGGAATCGTTGTCATGAGAATTCAGCTGGAAATTAGTTGGGTAAAATGAGATTTTTATAGCCTTTGTTCTTGTATATGGAGAAACTGCTATAGCTGGGACAACAGAAGGACAAGTCCCTGCAATAAAAATTATGTGTACAGTACAACGAAATTCGTTGCAGCAGAATTGTACTGTAATAATCAATGCGGAAACTCTGTTTTCTCATCATTTTATTCTCTCGCGGCAATGAAATATAGTATGCATTTGGAATTTACCTCTTGGAAATGATGGCTCCCAGCAAGGGCTTCACTGAAGTGTCGTTCATTCGCAGCTCAATGACGGCGATGTAACCTGTATTGTTCACGTTCGTCTCAGCGGTGCCGCCTTCGAGTCGGGAGAAGTCTCTGACGGGTCTCACGTAGATGTCGCTGCCATCAGCACTAGCAGAACCTGTGCAAATGAAACAAGATATTTTTCCCTTTAATTTTCTTGCTCACGCAAGCGAACAATAATGAATGCTGCTCACAGATCCCCGTCGAGAGGAAGTGGATGGAAAAAAAGATAACCAATACCCGTCCTTTCATGCTGTATGAAGTGTGATCACGAATTGATGGACGCCGTCGGATCCCGATTATTTTATTTGGCTCAGCGAACGATATCCAAATTTCTGAATCTATATATGTACAGTACAAATATAAATATATACTACAGTACTACAGTTTATGGAAGAAAATCAGATCAGTACATCACTCGGTGGTTTTCTATTGAATCAGACATTTTCAAACATTTTTTGAAGAGCTTGGATGTTGAATTGATTTGCGCTCGTGCTTTTAAGTGCAGATGAAAGCTTGAAAATTATTTCTCCGCATCTGTTGCTCAGCATCTATACGCTGATGATTGCCTATAATACTGTATACAGAATATATACATAGATGCACTGATACATCATATACAGTATACTGCACTTTCAACACTTGGAAATTTTGCATGGAGCATATGTATACATGTCATGCGTCAATTAATCAAACGCATTATTGATAATCAAAGTACAGCACCGTATATATGCACGAAAGTGGTATACAGTATTTTTCAATTGTATTTTTGAAAATTGAATATCTGAGACTGTATACAATAGGTGCATATGGATGATGGGTCTAAAATGTTCTCCGAATAAAATTTGAAACGGCATATGCTGCAATTGAGCAACAAAAAAATCCTACATTGTCCAGGAAAATATTCTTTTTGCACGAAAAAATGTGCAGCCCTTATTCTTGCCATTTTTGAAAAAATATTTTAAAGTCACTCCAGGCAGCTTTTCATCCTGCTCTTCACTCAGAACTCTCAGAAGAACTCGCGATTTTCTCGCACCCCAGATTTTTTCCAGAATTCTTGAAATTGACATGGTATTAATTTCATGGGTTTCTGCCATCGATTGAATTATATGATTCCTTCACTGTCATTAACAGCTGCTATATTTACTGGGATACGAACGTGGCGACTGCATGCATGATGACAACCCTTCGAATGATACGGCCAAGTTAATTTCAGAAATTCTGAAAAAAGAGCTATAGAGTACACCAAAAATTATTTAGATGGGTGCCTCGCATATTATGACTTCTGAGTGACGAGCAGAAAACTGCCCATGTGATTATTTTTAGCATAGACAAAAAAGCCTTGAACACGGCTGCATTTTTTTCCTTGGCCAAAAAACACATTTTTTCTGAACAAGAAATTTCTTTCAGCTCAATCATGTGCCATTTGAATTTATATTTCGCAAGAATGTTTGTTAGACTCTTTCTGCATATGTAAACTTCGTTATTCAGCATCTGCGCGCAGCTTTTGAAATATACTTTCCAAAATTATATTTCTTTTTCGTTTGATGGTGCACGTGACATCAGTCCGTATAAAACCAAAATGCATTTTCGATTTTCCCGTTCACATTTGGACCACAATTATCGAATGACAATAAATCCGAAAATTATATCAGAAGTGGTTCTGCAGGTTTCGTCTCGAGCGTGGTAGTTTAAAAAAATGTAAATTTAAAAGCTTGTAAGATTTCTGGGCACATGAACAAGAAGATGCGCTGGTGACTTTTCAAACAATTACTTCGGATCTTTTCTATCTCTAGGATGTCTCTTTTTTTTTAATGCAACATGTAACCATGTCGAGAGCCTATATCCAAGCGTTACAGCACCAAGAATAGGACTGACTTTCGAACTGCTTCGTAAAGAAAGTTAAACTTTCGAAAAGTTGAGGTACTGAAAGTGCGTAATGGCAGCTAACTAAGCATTGGAAATGTGCCTTCAAGGATTTTCCCAATAGATTTTCCTTCAGGGCCGTGGGTGTCAAAACAGAGCCGACGATAATTGACGAAGACGAACATGTACATAAACAGTGTACAGTACTGCTATATAGATCAAGCTCGAAAAACACGTACATGGAGAAAAAGAACGAAAACCTGCGTCGGAATAATAGCAGTACTGCTGATGATGAAGACTTTGCTGTTTGTATCGATCTTCTCTCACAAGGTTCTTCACAATTTCTGAGTCGACGAATTAAATTTCGATTGAAGGACTGCCACATTTATGCAGCATGTTTCAATTCATGTCTGAATTGCATATCGTGTGGTTTTACCATTTAAAATATTTTACTTTTCGCATCAATAAAAAAGTGGTGAGCATATTACGTATTGCGGATACAATTTTATAAAAATATTTGATTTAATAACCAGGGTGCGCGTGTTACTCGAGTAAATACGGCAGTAAGTTCTACAATCGATATTTTTTGAGCATTTGCAGATTAGCTGCTCAGATTTGCATGTAGAACGTATATGTGAATCTTATTCGATGCAATTCAATTTACAATACAAAAATGCAGAAGAAATATACCTAAATTTCGGTAGCATCATTTCCTACAGTTTAAGCAGCCCAATATTTTTGCAGAAAAAAAATCAAATTGAGAACTTCTCTAGTTGATTGAATGAAGTAAGCTACAAAACTGACCCAGATTCATCACAGAGGTTTCTTTATATCTTTCCACAACATGCAGCATTGCTCATAGAAAGACAACTCAACGAACACCAATAGAACGCCTCAACTGACCAAATATATCCTCAGGTGAAAGCTTCTCAGTTTAATCTTTGACTGACTGATAATCTGACTTTTTGAACACCACACAATCGTTAAAGCACTTGACTGAATATTCATCTGAAGTACGAGATCCAAGTTTCAAGGGTACATTTGGATTACAAAAATCAGGGTTCAATATATTCCTCCGTTGCGCCTCCCAAAGCGTCCAATGCCGTGCTTTGGTCCGACGTTCCGTTCACTTGTAGTTCACTCAGCTTCCACACTGCAATTTTTCCTTCCGCAAATCCAATGCATATCTGCTTGGGGCTAAAAAAAAAACATGGATACAAAGTTGCTGACTTACTCAAGCAATTGAATGAACAAGGGGAGACTCCCTAACCACTCACACAGGAAAAACTTGGAAAGCAAAAAGTAAAAGAAATCGTGTTATTTTCATCATTTTACAAATGACCCAATTATTATTTTCTACCGGACAGCGATCAATAATCCGAGTCAATACTAAACTGGCTTTGCAATCTTCAACATTATCAATTGAGGTTGACTCCCTCTACAACGAAATCCAAGGGACCAGAAAATATTTAGTTCCAGGGATAATTTTATTCTAGACAGGCTTTGTTCTAGAGAACCCTACAAAAAAAAATCGTTACACTGTAAAGGAAAAATTGTTGCAGGCAAGATTTTTGTATGGAGACCCCACCTGTATACTAACAAATGCTCAGTAACTACTTGAAAAAAATGGCACAACTGTAGCAGAGATGCAAGACTTCTGTGAAAGTAAGTGGAATGAGAACATTTTCAGAAGAAACATTCATGCCTCACAAGAGTCAATTCTTCAAGAACTTTAAAAGAATACTGTATAAGAAAATGAGAATGAATGCCAACATTTTTGAATTCAGGACTCTTCACAAAAATCTTAATTAACCAGTCCAGAAATAAAAAATCCACTATCTATCCTGCAGCACTTCTTTCGAATTCTTCATGTGAATTGAAAGACGTTGAATACAAACAAAAGGAATAAATCCCTTGAGTGTGGCATCATGTCAAGCACTACAATTTCAAAGCCAATGCTGGCTTCAGGGTTTCAACGATATTTAGACATGCATCGTTAACTTGCATAAAGTGCGCATGAATTAGTGTTGGCTTCCTCTTCCTTGAAATGCCCGTTTTCTGCCGGAGTTATTTCTCAAAACCCCTCATAGTTTGATTTTCCCATTATCCATGAACTGAGGACACTGTTTTCAACCTTTTTGGGCCCTCAGACGAGGAACTTTCCATCAAAATTTTGTTGACCAGCAAAGTTTCATATTTTTGCAGATCAGCACACACTTTTTTAATACCTGTCATACATTCATGTCACGCACCATCTGATGACAAAAAATCAAGTTGAAAATTAATGAAGCAGCTATTGTGAAATGTGTTCAAAAAATTAGGAAGCTGGTCTTCAAGAGAGGTTTCTCACATTGAAAACATGAAGTAATTTATTGCAGCATGTTACAATTTGTTGGAAGTGCTACAAGAGAGAAGCCAATTTTATTTTTCATCAGATAATTTAAATTGCCATTACCTGTCCAAAAAGTCACATCACGATAAAGGACTTATTAACTACCTTTGATAGTTTGATTAACGTATTATGCTAAACCCACTGCTAAAGGAACTTCTTCACAGCAAAAACTTTTGGAGACTAGCAGAGGTCCGCGGACCATGGGTTGCCGACCACTGACTTAGGAGATGCATATTCAATTCTCAACGCTGGATTTAATTTTCATCAAAAAGTCCAGGGCTACAAATCCAGCAGAATGCATACTACTTATTGAAAAATATCGGCTTTAGTAGAAAAAACAAACTCACTTTTGCGGATTGAACTTCATCGTGGTAATGTTCAACCTTTGTGATCTGCCAGTTGCAGGAAACGATTGCACTTCAAGCAACGAAGCGGGCTCAGTTTTACTCATCAACAAGTCAAAGATAAGAACAGATCCTTGATTTGAAGCCACAAATAGGACGCAAGCGGCTGTAGGACTCCACAGCAGGCACGTGATTCCAGAGGTGAGTTGTAACTCTGCCACAGGAGAAGTGGACTGCAGGAATAAATGAAGCACTTCAAATAAAGATACAGAAGCAAATTTATAATTATAAAATACCCGGCGGCCTCCCAGATAAAAAAAATCAGAGAATTTTAGTCAAAAGACAATCTGTCATTTAAAATTCAAAGTTTGCCATCAACGAATTTTTACGATGAACTCTCATATGGAAAATCCAAATTTGCGACACGCGGAATAAGCATTCCCTACGCTAAAATTGCGTTAAAATAAAGCGATTGGGGAAAAAAGCCTTTGTTGTACCTTGAACACGCATTAAAGTGAGACTGAAATGAAATCAAGGCTTTATTCAAGACTGCAGGAAATTCGAAAAAGTGTTCAGTACTAAAACGAGATTATTTGTAACAAGATTCTACCTATGAGAATCAACCGTGAACAAATTTGATAATCTGTTCCATTTGGTTGGAATATTGATATTTGAGATGATTTTTTTAAAGACCTTTTACATGAAATTCCTCAGAATGCTTCGGAAGACATCTAACTCGAACCGTCATAAAAGTTCAAAAATTTCCACAGCTATAAAAAACAAATTCCGAACAAGACGTGGTAGCCAGAGAAAATCATAGGGGAGATTTCCCGCGGTTTTTCACTTTCCGAATCATATAAAAGCAATGGAAATCATTCAGAAACAACTCTTCAACTCGATCATAAAGGTTCTTATCCATCAAAAGTGTTCACTAGGTTACTTTGACAGGCTTGCGGCAGCAACTTATATAATTCTCAATGATGATCACTCGTTTGACGATGATGAAGAATTCACTGCAGATTGTAGCTAACCTTTTTCAAATTGTAAATCCACACGATTCCGTCGCTTGAGGCAGTTGCTAGCACATCTGTCAACGACCTACAGAAATCAACGCTGATCACGTTTCCCACATGAGATTGCAGCAACAGCTTCACTGAATTCTTGCTACCCACTTGGTCGTCATTTTTCCCCACTACACGCGCAATATGGTAACGAGAAGAGTCAAAAACTCATTGCGTCAAAATAAGATCAAGAATCCCATACCTTGATTTTGGTTTGGAAGGAAAGAGCATAAAGCCGCCGATCCACCTTCGCCACCAATCAGACACGTCGAAGGATCTGCTCGGCAAAAACTCCAGCACAAAATACCAGCATTCAATCCACGAGATGCTGCTGTTCCAAGGGTAGTGGGATTAGAGTCAGCAAATGGCGAAAGAAACCTGGAACATAAACGATAATACACTAGACTCTCACTACAACAAATCTCAACATAATGGATAATCGATTACAACCGAATTCGTTTTCAGGTCCCTGTCGATTAGTTGCTAGGTTAAATGTGCTCATTTACAACGAATTTTTCTTGAAATCAAGCTATTTCACTGGTCCAAATAGCTACGTTTCAACAAGATTTCCCTGTGTATCGAAGACGCAAAAAGCCAATTAAAGTTTCAGTCATGAATCCAATGATTTCCGATTCTTTGAATATTCATGGCGGAAGGGCCCAACGACGAGTTCTCAGCCTAAGAATCGTCCAACAGTCATTACAAAAAAATAATGAATTCTCAATTTTTCAAGGCGGATCGACATATGAATTTGAACGCACAGGAATCGGAATCCTTCCTACTCCCACTGATTTCATGAAAATCAAAACAAAGGGAAGATCGAAAACATCAGACATTCAACTGCACGTGTTCCAAAAATGAACAATTTATGTTTCTATTTTTCGAACGATTCTCGATTTTCACATTTACACAAATGCATTGGAGATGGTTTCAAGCTCGGATCTGCCATTATCGGGCGAACTTGCCACATTACTAGTGGGTCTGCTTGATTCTGTGTTCTTATTTGTGTTTCTCCGTTTCTAACTTGGTTGTTGAATGCATCATAATGTATCAGTTTTAGCCTGGTAAGGATTAGCTTTTGATAATACGACCAAATTTGACCTCACTGTGTTAGAACAGTTTTTGGACAGCGGTACTTGTTTCGTAAAAGGTTGAAGCTCTCGAGTGAAACACCGACAAAATTAAAAACCCCGAAGCGAACAGCATGAATTGTATCCAAGATCTGGCTCAACACTCAACAAAAGGCATAATAAAATTTACCGTTGAAGAATCCTCATGTCTCCGCTCACGTGGTTCACCGACCAAAAGAGAATGTTTCCATCAAGAGCAGCTGAGATGAGAAGAAGTAAATGAGCTGATCCAGCTTCACCGAGGAAATTCCTCTCCGAGAACTTCAGGCAAGTCACAGCTTCTTCAATATTGGTCCCGACAATTTCAGAGCTTGAGGCCATCGGTACGGAATTGTCCCGATTCAAGTCCCACACGTCAACCCGGCCATCATGCGTTCCTATGCTCATGATGCTCAATTCGAATGGGTGACATGCAACACTCGTCACACAGGACTCCACTACACAACTAGTTGACAGCTCACCACTAGAGAAAGAAACAAGACGTCAAAATGAAATTGTTTCAAAAATACCTGCAGAGAACCAAACGCAAGTAATGTTGACGAAAGCAAGGAATTAAGGCAAAAAAAAAAGCTTCAACGGAACCGAGAAACAATTTTCCAACAAGTACTGTATTCTAAAAAAGTGTAGTAAATTTTTAAGGCATGACAAGTCCTAATGCTTCAGAGGGCGAGTTAGTGTGAAGTGAACTCATTTTCTTCTTACGTCTGTGCGATAACATGAAATTATTCAATCATCAACATTAATTACCTCACGTTCCGTACTTCGAACTTTCCCTCATGCTTGCACCAGTCCTCATGAGTACCAGATGATATGCCTATCATGATGCGTGTGCCTCTCGGGTTCCAGTCAAGACTTGACACCACTCCCGTACCCACAGACCACCAGTTTGCTGTCCCATCAGAACTTTCATCAATTTTTCTCTGCTCGTAATCCAGAAAAATCGTAGATTTCTCATTGTCAGCGAGGGCATCCAGAATTGTCGGTGCTACGCGATTTAGGAAGGCCGAAACTTCTTCTTCATTGTACGTGACGTGTCTTCCTTTGTTAGCTTCGTCCGTCTGAACCTACCGAATACAATGCAATGATCAGTTTTGTATGCCTAAACAACAACGATATCTCAAGAAGTACATTGAACACCACTTTACACATGAGCTGCGTATCGCAAGCATTTCTCGAACTCCCCTTTGGTTTGCTAAGCCTTCATCTTATAACGTTACAATCGTCAGACGACAGCCGAACAATTAGGAAATACGTAAAGTCGTCGGTTTCATTCGTTTTCTTACAATTTATGATTATAGGCTCCAGAACGGCCTCCTGAAGAAATACAGGAACGAATGTTGTCCTTTGAAATACAATGCAAGTGTTTGTCGGCTGAACATGATCATGAAAAATATATAGAAGCATCAGGTAAAATGTGTTTCCTGCAACCAGATGATAAAACAGAAAACACCGGAGAACTAACAAGTGATAAGTTCAGAAGCATAGACACGGCAAAGAATTCTTCACACAAATACAGCAACAGCGTGAAGCACGGGAGACACAGAAAATCAACATGTTGCTCGCTCACAAGTCAGTCATCAAAACTCACCCCAGCCTCTTGCAGATCTCTCGACTGAACTTGGGCGTCGTTCGTTACGATGGTCTCGGTTCCAATGTGTGCATGACAAAATTTTCTGCCATAAAAAAATGAAAATTTTCAACTGAAACTTGACAGAGAATTGAAAGTAAGGCACCTGTCATCATCGTTGCAGGAACGGAACCCAAACGACGGGTGATCAACAACCTTGAGGTTCATGATGAACAACACGACACAAAAGATCAAACCACAATTCCACCAAAAACTTCACACGAAATACTGTACACACGGAAAAAAAACGTCATTTCAGTCAATTGAAAATGTGACGAGTGCTACATGATTTTCACCATTACGGAAATTCCCGATAGTGTCATGCCGCCGATAGAAGTACCGAAGCATTTGGTCAATATGGACAGCGGGCGCTGTCCATAATGACCAAAATGGAACCCATCACATCAGAGTTCTCTAAAACAGCACTTGGACATGAACGTTGACAAGTGTATGAAGCCCTAATCACGATCGCTTCAAGTCTTCGAATATTCTATAAGAAACAATATCCGCACAAGACAGAATGGGTTAACAATTCGATCAGAAACCCACATTGCACGGCATCTGGATAATGAATTCTAACGCTCATTCATGTCGTACCAAAAATGACCGTACACCACAACCACTCGGGGTTTCTAAAGAAATTTTCTACCATGATGGCAGAACACTACGGTAAATTGCCTATCCGAGGCATCTCAAGCATTCGTGACCTTCCTGACAGTTGCATCAATGCACTCGGCAACGTAATCCACATTCGAAGTGGTGAGTCCACAGATGTTGATCCTTCCACTCTTCAGCAAATAAATGTGGTATTCGTCAATCAGATGCATGGACTGTTTTTCTGCAAGAACAGAACAAAAATGGTGACACCAATGTCGAAATTGAAAAACAAATAAATTGCAGAAGTATCACAGAACGACGGAAAAGGTGGAGAAATGTTACCTGATAATCCAGTGAATGAGAACATTCCGATCTGATCAGTGATATGATTCCATTGACCAGGGGTTCCGAGTTTCTCCAACCTATCTCTTAAAGCCTTTCGCATAGTGATTATTCTCCCGGACATCTCACGGATGCAACCCTTCCACTCCTCGAACATTTCTGGATCATTGAGGACCATGGACACAACTCGAGCTCCGTGAGACGGCGGGTTCGAATACATTCCTCGGATAAGCAGAGTAATTTGAGACTTGATGTTCGAAATGGTTTCGGCATCTTTCGTGACTAGAGTCAGATTTCCAATTCTTTCATCTGTCAAGAGAATTCACAAGTCAAGAGAATTCACGGGATGATATAATCCGAGTCTTTGAGCTGACAACTTACTGTAGAGTCCGAAATTTTTGGCAAAACTTTGGGCGCATAAGAATTCAAATCCACGCTTCTCAAAGTAACGAACGGCAAACGCATCTTTATCAAGATCACCAGACGCAAACCCTTGGTAAGCACAATCCAAAAACGGGAATAGCTTCTTTTCCTGTGCAAAGAGAACCCCGATAATTTCCCTCTTGTCGGAACAGTTCATAACACGACGGGTACCTCAATAACATCAGCAATTTCTTTCCATTCCGCTTCAGTGGGATCAACGCCAGTAGGGTTGTGAGCAATTGCATGTAATATAATGACGGAATTTTCCGGGGCATTTCGCAGATCTTCAAGCATTCCAGCAAGGTCCAACTTGCGATTTTGGGCGTCCCAATAACGGTAGGTTTTGGCTTCCTTGAATCCAGCATTCATAAATATGAGTTTGTGATTTCCTGCGCCATGAAATGAATATACTTGTCAAAGTAAGGCGTGAAAAATGCTTTGAAATGGCAGTACCGACCCCATGTTGGAGACGAGTAATAAAACACAGAATACTTCAAAATCTGGGCCAGAAACTCGGCTCCGACTCGTAGAGACCCCGTGCCACTCAAACACTGGATACCAACACCTCTTCCTTCCTTCAGGGCAAGAGAATCAGGCCCTAGTACCATTCGAGTAGCGCCAGCCGATGCCGAATCCAACCCAAGCACAGGTAAGTATTCATGATTCAGGGATTGGTCCTCCGCGATCAGCTTTTCGGCTCGACGCACGACCGGCAACACCCACGGCTTTCCTTCATCCGTTCGGTAAGCTCCAACACCAAGATTAACTTTATTTGGATGCTTGTCTTCAGTGTAACGTCGAGTTAAAGCAAAGACCTCAATCGGAGGAGCACCCTGCACACCGGAAAATCGCGACATCACGAGAACCTCTGTCAAGCACAGAAAGGATTGTAATGAGTTTTCCTTTATCCCTGATTTTCAGCACATCACACTTCGAGAAACACTTCGTTCGAACATGTCAACAGTTTTTCGAAAAAGAACATGCACCAAGCGCATCATTCCCCTAATCGCGGACGATCCCATTAACTGGATCATGTGGTCAGGCTTCCACCCCTTACCGAAACATTCGCATCCGCCAGCTCCGCCTACTTCGCAGTGCATGACCTACTTACGATCTGATTTACATAACGAGAATCGTAGGAACCGAAGGGTCATGAAGTACACGGAGCTTCAACCAGGTGTCATTGCAACGCTTTGACGCGTATTTATTCCAGGATAGGGCGGGCACGCACTAGCTTCCCCGCCAACATCTTCATTACAGTGATGTCACTCCAATGAAAGCAATTCTGTTGCAACGCTTCTACCTTGGTGCTTCTGATGCTAGAAGCACAAGTGCCATGGTCAGACTGACTAAACATGAGGGATTTATATGAAATCCTTCATGTTTAGTATCATTTTGTGGAGTTTTTTTTTGCATGGAATTCCATAATTTCGAAATTAGAAAATTTGAGAAAGTTTTAAAAATGTTTTCTGTGCTTTTTAATTGACTTCGATTTGAGGGAAAGCGGTTTCCTTTACACTCACGAAAAAAAGGTCCCCCCTGACCCACAGAAAAAAAGTCACAATACCCGTCCAAAAAGGTAACCCCCCCCCCCCCCCCCCCCCCCCCCCCACGAACAATGNCCCGCACAAAAAGGTCCCCCCCCCCCCCCCCCCGAGGAACAATGGATTTAATATATAGGGGCCAAGGATTTGGTAGCGGTGTATAGTGGATGTAGTAATCGCCCTTATATATGCCCTTCTATTTTCCTGGCATGCTTTGAACAGATGGTGGGGTAGTTATTTGTTATACAGTATACTCAATAAGGATGAAAAGCATTGAAGGCAAGAAAACCAGGAAGGTGTATCCACCCTCCTGATTCCATAACTTCCCCTTTCCTTGGAAAACAAACATCCTTCCCCTTTTTCAACTTCATTTCCAAAGTTTTCCTTCAGAAAGGGTATTGTCCCTGGGAATGAGATAAAAAACACTTATTTATTAAAGTTGCATGAAAAAAAGAAGAAGTGCTGGGAACCTTTTGAATCTTCAAAAGTTTAAAAATCTATCTATATACCTTTTATTGTGAAAATTCAGCAAACTGATACCTGGGAACAAAAGATTGATACAAAAATTTAATGACAGAAGACTGAACCCATTTCTGTCATTTTTCCAAAATTTCAAACTTATGAAAATTGGTGAAAAAAGAGAGACTTATATACTAGACTAAATTCAGATGAAGTCAGCTATAAATTTTCAGCTAGGATGATAGCTTGAGTATCAGGCATTGCAGAAAATATTTATTGAGAAATGTGAGCAGAAGAAAACTGCAGAAAATGCTGTGATGAGTGAATCAAATTGCAGTGAAAAGCATGTAAGGCATCAGAAGAGCTTTGAAATCTGAAAATGTTGCGCATAACCTAACCTAACCTAACACTTTTCTTCATCATTTTTGCAGAAATGAATTCTAAAAATATTTTTTTTCAGGAGATATTTGAGGCCCAAAATAAAATTCATAATCTTTTGACAACAAAATACTGTACTTCTTTTTTATACAGGGAATACTTTTATTTCATGCAGAAAAAATAAAACTGGGTTTTGTACTTTCAGTGCATATGTAAGGCTCTTTTGTGGTTACAGTTTTGCAAGTGAATGTCCTAAAATACACAATATGCAAAATAATTTGAGGAGACAAAGGTGGAAACAGTCAAATTACAATGTTATACAATAATGTGGAATTAAAATTTCAAATGCAAATTGTCTATGATTTGTGAATTTTTCATTTGGCTCATTGTTGAGGTAAAAAAATCTTACACCACATATATTGTGATTGTAGATTTTTTAAAATTGCGCTTCAGTTGTGTGTGTGGTGAACCTTTTCAATGTGGATCACTTGCAAAAGGTTGTGAAAATTTTCATCTTTTAAAAATTGCTTTCTCATTTGCAAATGCGGCATTTTCATCAGTTTGCGCATGCAATTGTGCTAGTAATTTTCAGACTGCAATTAACACCCCTGCTTGTGAAAGAAGAGATGTTGTGCTGGTGAGGAGAGGTCTTCACTGATTCATCCTTATTGGTGGCTCCAGCCAACAATAGTGATCAATTCACAGAGACACACCAAGTTACATGGTCTGTAACACTGAAAATTCAAAAGCTGCTGCAGCTTCTGCTCTGGAGATGACAACACAATAACTGGAGCAAAATTGCAACATGCCCTTGGACAAACAGCGGGCCAAAACTCCTCTTAGAGCCTCTCTGACAATGATTACAGTGTTGTTTTTGGCAGCCTTGTCTGTTGCATGGGAATCATTGTCTCTGGACACCCTACAATTCCTTGCCAAGACATATTGCCTGGGTCACCCATAGGTCACTAATGAGGCCAAGTATGCTGCTCAACTTGAAATATTCTAGGTATACCCCTATCTTTCTTTCTTGCTTTTCTGAAGCCGACCCAGATGCTGTTACAGTTGTTGCAACTTGTTCCTGTACCATGAAGCAGATCATCCTGCGCAACTCCTGACAATGCCACCTTGCTGATGGTTTTCAGAACTACAGATTCCAGAGCTCCCAAAGCAGCAGGCCAAAGAAGAATTCAAAGATTATGCCATGTGGCTGCAAAATTGTCTGGACATTGTTATCCTATAAAGGGTAAACCCCTGTTTAGCCTTACTCACTGAGATCACACTTTGTGAACTCTCTCAAGTCAATGGAAAGATCAACCGTCTTCCATTAGCAAACCAGGGTCCACTCATT